GTAAATTGTGCTGCTATGAACATAGGGGTGCATATATCCTTTCTGATTGGTGTTTCTAGTTTCTTGGGATATATTCCTAGAAGTGGGATCACTGGGTCAAATGGGAGTTCCATTTTTAATTTTTTGAGGAAACTCCCTACTGTTCTCCACAGTGGCTGCACCAGTCTGCATTCCCACCAGCAGTGCACGAGGGTTCCTTTTTCTCCACATCCTCTCCAGCACTTGTTGTTTGTTGATTTGTTGATGATAGCCATTCTGACAGGTGTGAGATGGTACCCCATTGTTGTTTTGATTTGCATTTCTCGGATGATTAGTGACTTTGAGGATGTTTTCATATGTCTCTTGGCTTTCTGTATGTCCTCTTTCGAAAAGTGTCTATTTAGATCCGTTGCCCATTTTGAAAACAGACAGATGTGCGTGGACCCCGAGCAGGCTGCTTGCTCCTGGCCGCACAGCTCCGTGTCCCGGGAACTTGGGTCTGGCGTGGGGCACTGGCCTCACAGGCAGGAATGAGCCTATAAATGAACCTTAAAGCAGCTTCATATGGTTCCCATCCTGGTAAGTCCACCCGCAAAGGAAAGAGTTTTCCTCCATTTTCTAAAGAATAACAAAAACCAGTGAAGGAAAGGCCAGCTGCTATGAAGCCTGAATGTGTGGAAGGACACAGACCTGAGGAAACTCGTCCCTCCCCCATGGCCACTCCTGAGTGCCATGAGCCAGTTGTGTGAGACACTCCATGGCCAAGACCGGTGCATGCTAGCAGCTAGCGGTGTCTCTTCTATGGTTGATTTTTCAAATGTGACAGATATTTACTTAGCTTTAGAGTTAGTTCTTTCAGTAAATGATTGATATTCTTCTATAAAGGCCTATTGATACATTCAGTAGGTCAAATAATTAGAATGAGTTTAAATCCACACCCTTGTACACGAGCGACAATCATCCTCAGTGGAAATGTTGCTAAACTTGAAGATCTGCCCTTGACCATGGACATTGGGTGAATTGCCAGGGAGGACATGGAGTGTGCCATGAGGGTGGATGGTAACTCAGTGCAGTGAGAAATCGCATTTCCCCACCATGAGCAACGTTTCAAGCCCCTTGTCCAGAAACCATGCATTCTGAGCCAAGTCCCCGTCCCTGAAGCTGTCCTTGGGCTGTGGCCATGTCAGCACAGCCTTCATTCGGTGCCGAGGCCCTCGCTCCCTGCACACAGGGCTCGATGGGGATGCATGGTGATGCCCCAAAGCAAGACTGGCTACAGTGCCAACCACTGAGCCGATCCGCCTAATTCCTTCCACAAGGAAAACAAGGACAATGTTAACCTACCAGTTGCATATGCCGTGAACTCAAACAGGGAATTAGCAGCTGCCTCATGCCCCAGAAGCAGAATCTCAGAACCAAAAGAGCATGTGGCCCATTTTACACTCTCATTTCACGGGGGATGAAAGGCAGCTGTCTGTGGGCTGGAGGGGAGGATCTGGATCCACACAGATGTCCCACGGGCCAGCAATGCCACTTCTTGGCTGCATCCCTGGATACATTATTAATATTACTGATAAATTATTAATATAACTAATAGCACGTAGCTCACATTTACTGAGTACTTGTCACATGTCACTCACTGTGAAAAACACCTTGTATGCCTGCTCTTCTTTAGTTCTCACAGCTGCACAGGCAGTGGCTTTATTCCCAATTTGTAGACGAGGAACGAGGCTTGGCGAGGTTGAATGAATTGCTGACATGGGTAGAAGCTCTTGTGTGAAACTCGCATTCGTTTGACACTGAAGACCGTGCTATCATGGGCTACCCTGTCTGGTACTGTTTTTCACAAATGTCCTGAGCCTCAATTTTCCCAACTATAATGCTGTGTAAAGAGAGCTGGTTTGTGACAATCAAATAAATACATTTGTGGAAGCAGTCAACCCAAACTCCAGTGATAACAGCTCCTGTTTCTCAATATGCAAGTAGTGATTTGCTCTTGTTGTTAAATCCCAGTGCACCACGTGGGCATCATGTTCATTTCAAGCTAATCTACACTAATAAAAGAGAAACATGGTAATTAGCGTACGACCGCTACCCTTTTCATTGGATAATCAGTGAGTATATGCAAATTAACTGTCAGCCAAGATGGCGGCCGGCAGCCAGGCACTGAAGCGAGCACGAGGCTTGCTTGCTGCAGACTCCAACGTTCCCCGCCTCACTTGCCGGCCTCTCAGCTGCAACTCTAAGCAACTAT